ACTTTCCTCCACTATCAACATCAAGCAGTTCTATGTCAGGTTATAACACAGTCAGACGAAGATTTAGGTTGCCTATATATTGCACAAATGGTAGACCACCTTCCAGCTTCAGAAAACCACCTCTTTTTGCACCACTGCTGTCTTTGGTACATTTTTTGACCTCAATTACCACTGATGCATGGCTGAAAGATATTGCAAGTTGATTGGAAATTAAATGTCGTCTGTAAATTCCATAAAACTGAGCAAATGCAATTTGTAAAAGATCACTACATTAGCAGACAGAGGAGATTTCTAATCTGTCCACCTGGACTGAATTTACAACAATGTCCGAGAAGTGAAAGAGTGGTATCTTCACGGCTGAATCATTTCGCGACTTGTTCAACTTTTTGAGCAGTATTTAAGTAACATAGGAACCTATCCATTACATGCCACTGGAAACATGAAGGTCAAATATTTGACATTTCCCCCCCACCAGGGAACACCCAGATCAAATCACCTGGGAAAAGGGGAACAATATTCATGACACTGTTTTCATACCCTTTGGAAAATTGTTTCCAGCTTCTGAGGCAGTGATTCTGTACCCGTGCCTGAATTGGACACACAAACAACAATAATAGGAAGGTGGAATGCATACAAATACATAAGTGTGCTTAAAATTATGGCATTGGACTTGCGTCAGGAATCTGCCCAAGATGAGAGACTCTATGCATTCTGATTTGATTCATTATTGTCACGTGTACTGAGATACAGTGAAAAGTATTGTTTTGTGTGCCAACCCAACAAATCCTACCTTATGTAAGTACATCAGGGTAATTAGAACAGAATGCAGAGTATAGTGTTCCAGCCTCAGCGAAGGTGCAGAGAAAGATTCACCCTAACAGATAAGGGATCCATTCGTAAGTCTGATCACAGTGGGGAAGATGCTGTTCTTACATCTGTTGGTACATGTTTTTAAACTTTTGTATCTTCTGCCTGGTGGAAGAGAGTGTGACGGGGTGGGAGGGGTCTTTGATTATGTTGGCTGCTTGGCCGAGTCAGTGGATGGAAGCCTGGTTTTTGTGATGGCTGCGTTCACAACTCCTGTAATTTCCAGCAATAATGAGCAGGATAAGAGCTGTAGGGTGATCATTTATAGATTTTGAAGTGCAACAGATCGCAAGAAATACTGTCCCAGATCTCCAAGGACTACAACTGGATGAAATCTTCCTCCCATTCTATTTACATGAGCCTGGATAGACAGGTGTGCTTCTGTACAATAACAATAGGGAGGTGGGGGTAGGGGGATAGGGGAACAAACAAGGAAAAGTTAACCTAGTTGTCTCGAATAGTGTCAGAGAAGCAAAATAACAAAACATGTCTTTATTAGTGGCTCAATTCAGAAATGGTGCCTTATTTGTCTTCTGTCCATTTACGGTGACGTTCAAGAAATTGACAAACAGTAGTAAAATCAATTAAACTGTCTGTTACAAATTTCTAGCAGAGTGGAAGAGAAGGATTGCATATTGTTTTACCATTTTCAATCAAAATTTTCAGAATGGTTTTCTAGTTTAATCTAATAATGTACAATTTGGAGAAAATCATTCTGTACAGATGTTGTCAAAAAGTTATTCTGAGATTCAACAAGTTCTTTTCTAACCAAAATTTTTTTTTAATGTCAAATTATGGCTTCATAGTCTAACATAGAAAATTGTCTTTCAATTTTAGGAATTTACTTGTTGGATTTGATCTACATTGACTCCGCCTACCCAGCATCTGACAGCATCATGGAGAATGAGCAGAGGTCAAATCAGATGAACAACATTTTGAGGATCATTTCAGATTTACAAGTTTCTTTCAATTGTGGTCTGTATTCAATTTTCAATTTGTTTTTGATTAAATGAAGCTAAATCCTACAACAAATATAGATTATTTAAGCAGTGCTTTAAAAGCCTTAAAAATGCTAACATTATTTACTCAGCTAATTGAAGCTTGGGGCTAAACTGTTTCTCTGGCAATGTGGGACACTTGTTCAACTTATTACCCAACTGCATATCGATATCAAATTTTTCAACTGCACATTTACTCATTTTCTCTCTAGAATTATATTGTGCTTTCACGTTTAATTCAGTATTTTCTTTCCACAATAATGTTCTTCTATCGTCATGCAGAAGTGTTGACTTCTCAATGCATGAAAAAGAAATACTACAGATGTAAGAAGTCTCAAATATGAACAGAAAATGCTAGAAAAACCTACTCAGTCAAGCAGCATCATTGGAGACAGAAACAGAGTTCTTATGTCAGATTGATGACCTTAGAACTGAACTGGAAAAAGTTTGACTCTTAACTGTTTCTGTTCTTACATAAAACCAATGAAAAGAGGTAGGGGGTGCAAGGTAAGAACAAAAGGTAACAAAGCAGGAGAGAGAAAGTGACAAAAAGTAAGTAAAGACAAAGGGGATGGCATCGAGATCGACAATGAAAGAAAGGATAAGTCTAGAGGGACTTGTGTTATCATCAAAAGGCCTGGAGGAGATGTAAATGGTAACAGCAGATGCAGTACCAGAATCTCCTGTCCCAAAAAAATGGGAGCTGTGACTATGACCTAAAATTGTTCAACTCAGTATTGAGTCTGAAATGCTGGCAGGTGAATAAAGGCCATATGAATAATTAACATCTTGAACATAAGAAATCAGTGCAAGATTAGGTCAAGTGACTCCTCAAACCTACTCCATTATTCAGTAAGGTTGCTGCTGGACCTATATGTCAACCCTGTTCTCCTTCCCTTAATTAAAACCCCTTATATCTCTAAGTTCTTCCCGTTCTGATTTTAAAAAAAAAAGGCATTGATCTGAAGCTATGGACAGCCAAGTGAGTTTTCGCCTATAACAGTGACAGTAGTGTATTTTGTTATTTTTCACGTATAAAGAGGTAGTAAATTGATTTAACTCATTCTAAGGACTTTATTCCAGTTAATTATAGGCTGCACATAAAATAAATCAGTTTGCTGTTCTGATTATGTGATCTTTCACTTGTGTTCCTTTTGGTCCGTCCTTCCAAAAGGTAAAAGAACACTTGACAGCACGTTTAGAGAATCCAGTACAAGTAACAAGGGTTCAATACTACAATGTTCACTATTGATTGATTCGATATTCAGTGTTAACAGAGCAAAATGGTTGTAACAAGTCTACTTAGAGTGACCACTGGTACTGATCCCAACAAAATACCAAATACAAGAACTGAAAAGTTCACAGTAGTGTGCTTTAAAGCATAATATGTTAACCGAGCTTCCTTCAAATTATCTTAAAAACAAAATATGCGTGGAGATGCTTTAACACACATTTTACAGCCAATTCTTTACTTTTGTGATAGGCGTACGGTTAGGGTTTATCCTTTTACTTTATCTCACAACAGGTTTTGCATTGTGTAATAACAGCCACAGGGATTCTGGTCTGTGATCAAGTAATTTACTGAGTTTTCAGTGGTTCGAATCACCCCCAGATCCCTGGTTCTGACCCCGGACTTAATTTAGGAATATGAAGTGAAGAAGACAATAGATAGGTGTTTCAGGGCAAAGAATCTCTGTGTTTATTAAATGCAAAGGTGAGTATATCATGAGAAATAAAAAGGTAAAAATAATAAACGGGGAAATGACACAAAGGTGAATAAGATACAAGAGATAAAAAGGTAAATTCAAAACAGTGAAACTGACACTATCAGTATTAACTTGACACAGGCTAATTATTATTAGAAACTAAATAGTAGTTTCCAACACAGACAGTTTAATTAGATTTTCTGACCTTGGGAGTTCTCCGCACTGTCACCAACCCACCTTCCCCTCCCTGTCAGCTAGGTTGGATACTTTAGGTCTCGAGGAGATAAGCTCACCACTGGGGATAAACACAATTATGAAATACAGCTGGCTATTCCTACTTGCCATAGCTGGTGCTTCACTGAAGACTTTGAACAGTGTAGGGCTTCAGTCTGGTTTGAGAACTTGGGTTTTCTTACTCTGTGGTGGTTTTATGAGCCAGTTTTCACCTCAGGATGTGTCTGAGGCCTTGTCAGGCATCTCAGTGGTTTTCGGAGGTCGTCAGATTTGAAGGTCTTGGTCGGTTACCGCGGGTTCCCCTGGTACAGAATAGCCCTGTGTTGGTAAATTTCAAGGGAGATAGCTGTGCAGATAGTTCTCAGGGGAGAGTCGCTGTCTGGCTTCCCTCTTCTGTTGGTAGCTGCGGGAATGGCTCTCTCTCTCTCTCTCTCTCTCTCTCTGTCTCCCGGGTCAGGGCTAGCAGTTACACAGACTGTGTTGACACAGTGTGGAGCTGGAGGAACACAACAGGCCAGGCAGCATCAGAGGGGCAGGAAAGTTGATGTTTCGGGTCAGGACCGTTTTCTTCAGACCCTTTTCTGAGGAAGGGTCCCGACCCGAAACGTCTGCTCCCCTGATGCTGCCTGACCTGCTGTGTTCCTCCAGCTCCATGCTGTGTTATCTCTGACTCCAGCATTTGCAGTTCTTACTATCTCTACACAGACTGTGTGCTCCGTTATCACCTCGCAGATCTGTGTTATCCATTGTGTTTCTGTTGTCCCCTTTATGGTGAATTGGCTTCCTGATTGTTTGGAGTAGGTGTAAATGTATTTTAAGTAAGTGGAAAGTCGAGTATTTCGGTGAATGAATATGAATTGAAACCTAAATTGAGGCCTAAAATTGGGCCTTCCTCTCCCGCAGGCCCAACCAGTCCCCCTCCACCGACACCCTTATCCGCTTAACTGAACGCATCCTTATCCTTAACAACTTCTCCTTCAGTTCCTCCCACTTCCTACAGACTAAGGGGATGGCCATGGGAACCCGCATGGGCCCAAGCTATGCCCGCCTCCTTGTAGGATACGTGGAAGAGTCCCTCTTCCGCAGCTTCACTGGCCCTATCCCCCACCTCTTCCTCCGCTACATCGACGACTGTATCGACGCCGCCTCATGCTCCCACGAGGAGCTCGAACAGTTCATCCACTTTATTAACACCTTCTATCCCAACCTCAAATTCACCTGGACCATCTCTGATACGTCTCTCTCCTTCCTGGACCTGTCTGTCTCCATTTCTGGTGACCACCTTGAAACTGATATCTATTTCAAGCCCACCGACTCCCACAGCTCCCTGGACTACACCTCCTCTCGCCCACCTTCCTGCAAGAATGCGATCCCCTACTCCCAATTACTCCGTCTCCGCCGGTCCCAAGATGAGGCGTTCCACTCCCGAACACCTCAGATGTCCTCCTATTTCAAGGACCACAACTTCCCCCCCCTCAGTGTCGAAAATGCCCTCGACCACATCTCTTGCGTTTCCTGCACCTCAGCCCTCACACCCCCTCCCCACAATAAAAACAAAGACAGAATTCCCCTTGTCCTCATGTATCACCCCATCAACCTCCGGATTCAACGCATCATTCTTCGCCACTTCTGCCACCTGCAATCTGACCCCACTACCAAGGATATATTTCCCGCCCCACCCTTATCTGCCTTCCAGAGGGACCACTCTCTCAGTGACTCCCTTGTCTGCTCCACACTCCCCACCAGCCCCACCACTCCTGGCACTTTTCCCTGCAACCGCAGGAAGTGCTACATCTGCCCCTACACCTCCCCCCTCACCCCCATCCCAGGCCCCAAAAAAAGCCTTCCACATTAAACAGATGTTCACCTGCACATCCGTTAATGTGGTCTATTGTATCTGCTGTTCCTGATGTGGCCTCCTCTACATTGGGGAGACCAAGTGGAGGCTCGGAGACCGCTTTGTGGAGCACCTACGCTCGGTTCGCGACAAACAACAGCATGAGCCATTTCAACTCCCCCTCCTACTCCCTGGACGACATGTCCATCCTGGGCCTCCTCCAGTGGCACAACGATGCCACCCAGAAACTGGAGGAACAGCACCTCATATTCAGCCTTGGAAGCCTACAGCCCAATGGCCTAAATTTGGACTTCACAAGCTTCAAAATCTCCCCACCCCCGACCTCATCCCAAGACCAGTCCCCCCATCACCCCTGCCTCATTGACCTGTCCGTCTTCTCTCCCACCTATCCGCTCCACTATCCACCTGCTATCACCGCTCCCCCACCCTCTCTATTTATTTCAGAGCCCCCTTCCCCTCTCCCATTTCTGAAGAAGGGTCCAGACCCAAAACATCAGCTTTCCTGCTCCTCTGATGCTGCCTGGCCTGCTGTGTTCATCCAGCTCTACACTGTGTTATCGATGAATTGAAGTTGAATGCCTTGGTACCTCTGAAGAGTCCAATATGTCTAAATTTATTGCCTTAGGTCTGGTTCATTGTTCCTTTAGGGCTAAGGCATGAGTAGGAGTTGTAACTGAGCTGTGGTTCCAGACAGCTATCTCCGTGATTGTGTATTCACAAACATAGCCCAGCTGCCTTTCTTTTTGTTTTTTGAAAGTTCTGTTAAAAATCCAGCGTTTTGGTCCAGTATTCGAAATGACAGGGATTTTTGCTCAGTCCTACACGGTATTCTCCCACAACGGTATTGACTCCAATCGTAATCCCATTTCACAAACTCTTGGAAGCTCTCCTGACTAAAGTGACCACTTCCTCTGACTCAAATGCTTGAAGGTCTCTTCCAATTCTCATCCTGCATCCATAGTGCAAACTTTCCAAGTGGGTCATGGCTTGAGAAGCTTGGCTGATTTATTTCTCTTTTGGGATATCGAGGCCTATCCTTTCTATCCTCAGCTGAGGCCAACAACCTTGACACAAGACAGGGCAGCCCCCTACAGCCTTTTCACTCATGCAGCCTGTCAAGTGCGTCAAGTAAACCGCAGTTGGCAATTGGGAAAAGCACAAATCAAATTTCAAAATGGG